GTCTCTGATTATGCGAAACAGAGACTGTCTTACAAATAATAATGCTCTCTTGACAAACGAGAAAAATGCATAAAAGGAAGTGTAGACAGGGAACATGATCAACGAGGTTGGTGAAGTCGTCATCCCCAATCTGCTAGTTGTTGCATACTATGCTGACTCATTCATTGTAGACCTGTGATTGGCCACTAGACACTAAAGCAATATCGTTTTGGATACGATTGTAGATAGAATTGGGAGGTTAGAAACTTAGACGTAAGAGAATTATTCAGATATTGGCTGCAAATTGTACTTGGGCAGCATGCAGCACGAGGAACAAGCAATCTCCTACTCAAATATATTTGTCATCCGTTAAATTGTGTATTCACTACTGCCATAGATGAGAATGATAGCCCCCTATCTACCTTATCCATGACCTTCTTTCCTCATCAACTCCCATGTATCCAATGCTAGATATTTTTTTTAACACTGTTAAAATGCACCATGGAATCTAGCTGTATAGAGAATCCCGAAACTGTCTTGCTTGAAACGCCAAACCTATGCAAATAGTTGGGAGAGAAAGAAAAATACCGCCCCCCTCTCTATCAACTCTGTAAAGCGTAACAGAACTAGCCCATCAGAGTATCACACACCATTCTGCATCTTCACGCACTTGATAAACTTCATCAGCATCCTAAGCATCCTTATCGAGCTCGTAAAATAGCAGATACACCTCTCTCTGCATGCCCAAGACTTCGCTGGTCTTTGCTTCCTTGACCTTTTCGTCGTTGACACGCCACCATTTGTCTGTTGCTGACTTTCGTTTCCTAGATCGTTTTGCGACATTTGATGGCACAGACTTGGGTGGCGATGAACTGCTATTTGTTTGCTTGGGAGATGTAAGCTTGGAGAGAGCTGACTTTGTAGAGGCGGCCACAGAACGAAGACTGCTGGTTTCCGGATCCTTCTGTTTGCCAATTGCTGGTAAGCTCACCGACCCTCGTAGGTCTGAAGGGACACTCCTAGGTGGAACCGGTAGAGATTCTAGAGAAGGCGTTGAGTCACCAGACGAGCCTGAGAGGAGGTCAGGTGTAGAGATTGCCGGACTGTGCGTCGGTCTTCCTCCCATGATAGGGGTGCCTATGGGTGTCGGTGTTTTGCTAAAAGCTTCCGATGGTTGGAAGGTGTTCGGGTTTGAGAAGGGTGCGGCTACGTTTTGTCGTCGGAATGCTTCGTAATGGCCACTGTTGTGTCCGCCACGGTGAGTAACCAGCCCGAGCAGCTTATATCTCTTTTGATCCATCAAACCACCGAGAGGCAGCTGTTCGGGGAAGACCACCTTGGCCGAGTTCTTCTGTGTCATTTGGCCCACATCATAGATGGAGCGGGAGAGGTGAATAGCCAATATCTTTGGAAATATGGACATTCGGGTGGTCTTTGCGATCCTCCTCTTGGGCGCAAAACGAATATCGCCAAGCTCAACATCTTCGGGGGGATTCTCGGGATCTGTGTCAATGGCATGCTGGAGCTTATCAATGCTTTCCTGGGCTTGCGCCTTGAAAGTCTCCGACGTGGACTTGGCCATCTCGGCCTCTAAATCTGCCTTTGTCTGCATCAATCGACACATTTCACATTTGAAGTCATCAATGTACTCGGTTTTGAAGATGCCGTCAAAGCATGCATTCAACGTCGTGCCTGAAACCTGAGGCACAGCCAAAGTTATAGTGCAGAAGGTCTCTTCCCTGGGCTTAGTCTTGTAGCGACAGGTCTGGCACTCGAGATGCGACTCATACTTTCCTTCCATTGGGAAACCCTCTTCAATTTCTAGGGGCAATTGACCATTGTCCTGGGGAATCTCGGTTTCCTCGGATGGCTCGATGGCAGAGTCGTTGTCGCCATTAGTAGTGGGTTGCTGCTCTGGTGAGGATTCGTCGCCATCCTTACCATTGTCTTGACTATTCAGCGTGTTCTCGACACTCGGTGTACTTTGGGTAGGAAACAGGCCGCGTCTCCGCATGTGTAGTCTTGCTCGTTGTCCGCAGTGATACTCGTCCTTTAGGCGCTCAGCCACGATTTGGAGAAACTCTTGCGCATCTTGTTGTTGGCGGCTGATCCTTTGCTTGAACGCCGCCTCCAAAACCTTGACAAACTGGAACGGCGATATGGACTTCTTGTAGATGGGGCGCTCATTAAGCGCATCCAGCATCTCCTTCAGTCCCTGTGTGACTAGTCCTTCTTGCAGGCCCTGTAGCTTCCATTGGGCAATCTGCTTGCCCTCTGGCTGGACAAGACTAGCATATACTGCCGGATCTTCGATACGGCGGCGGTGCGTTTCGCGAATCAGATATATGCGCAACTCTCCTAAGCCGGCAAGAGCTTGGAGGACCGAGTTGATAAAGCAGTCATTGGCTTGGTTTCTCAAACCAACTATAGACTTTTTCTTGGAGCTCGTAGCGTCGTGATCGATGGAGAAGTTTGGTGCGAAAACATATATGAGCGCTGCGGCAGCGAGAGAGGCACCAGCAGCGTAGGACACTACCGAGGCCGACTTCTCGGGCATTTTCAACAGTGGCCGACAAAGGGTTCGGAAGGGTCGGGATTGAGAATCCGGGGGGAGAGGAACGATTTGGGATATGCTCGTGTCGGACAGGTCAAACGGTCAAACGGTCACGACAGGGTGTGGCTTGCGAGCATGTCTTTGTGTGGACGGCGATTTCGCGATAGAAGCTTTTTTCTTTCTTGGTCGGGACTTTATTAGCTCTCGGTGGTAGCGTGTAAGTTTTTGCCGCAGGGCGACATGACAGTGGAGGAACAAAATCTGGAGGTTTTTCGGATCGCGAGATTTCGAAAGAGCGCACGGAGAGCGAGTATGTAACAGAAACCGAAATGGTCTGTTCTCTTGGGCGTTTGTAGGAAAGCTTATGGAGAAACAATCCACATCCGCTAACTGCAGACTCAACGGCCGGGGGAAACACGGGGGATTTTTGGCGTTGCGATGGCGGGTTTTCTGGAAGAAAGCGAAGCCGGAGCATGCTCCACCTCAAAAATTTCTACCCCATTCGGGCAGGTGAACAGGGTAGACACCCCACTGAACATGCCCATAACCCCGCCTGGGGAGAGGCTAGACAGGGCATTGGGGCAGCTTTCGGTGGCATTTGGCTCTGAACCCCCAATCTTGTGAGCTGCTGACCACCAGTTTTGATACCGTTCAGGCTGTATAAGCTACCCGGGAGCCTCGCGTCACATGGAATTGATGGATGTTTGAGCTGTGTTTCCGATGCATCCGTAGGTGAGGACTTTGCGGGGGTTTGTGTTCAGCTGGATAAAATTGACCTGGAGTTAGATTAATTATCTGCCGAGCTGGAATATAGATTTTCTGAATGTTCTTCAATATGAGATGTGATCATTGGCTCAAGTGGTACAATTTTGACAGTCAATTCAAGATGAGGCTGATACATGAGAGCGAACGGAAACAAAGACTTACTATAACATCAATATCATTGATAATGGAGGAAAACCGGGTATCGAGGAACAAATACATCATGTAGCATCGGCTGCAGTCTCCTTAACAATTTCACCCTGCCAGTCCCATAGACTCCCGTTCAAGGCACCCCGCCTCACCCATGTCGTCACAAGCTCCTTGGGCATCTCATCGCCATAGAACGATGTTGGCACATCATACAGCTCAACTGTCATCCGTTCCTTGGGATCGAATTCCTTCCAACGCGATGTCTTGACGTCCCTCCACACAAAGGCAGCGTCTAAAAGGGTGATTTTGATATCCCGGTCTAAGCGTATGTCATCTCGTGGTAATTTGTGAAAATACTCCTCCTTGATGTTGGCTGCCTCGACATTCACTGGCCGAGCGAGGATGACATGCTCAAGCTTCTGCTGTGTTGCGATGTACCACCACAGCCAATGATTATCAAGTGGTGCCCCAAATATTGTGACTCGTTTGAGATCCGGCCATAGACCCCAGACGTCAGTAGGAGTATCTGGGAGGCTCAGTGCCGGGTAATCGCCAAGACAGACAAATTCCTCTAGTTTATCAAGCCGTTCAAACCCCTCGCGAAGAGTCCTCCTGACATTCAAGTGGTCATCCAGCGGATCCAAGCTCTGGAATGGCATGTGGACAATCAGCCGTCGAAGTGTACCGCATACTTCGCAGAATAGCTCCCGTACCCAAGCTGCTGTGGGTTGATCGTCCAACTTGTCTCGAAATGGGGCCAGATAGAGCGATGTGATGTTCCGCAGTGGCAGTATAGGCGGTGGTAGGCTTGGTACAGAGTGAGGAAGACAGAGCAACAGCTGCGCAAGGCGTCGACTAGTGTCAATGTAGAGGCATCGCTCTCGAAGCAGCCGAATAGCTAACTTGTATGTATCGCGCGAAACCAGTGCCAGGGAAAGTAATGTCTTTGTCGAAATATGTGACGCTGGGATTAATGCCAGTGGATTCGAAGGCAAGACAGCCTCTATGACATTATAGAGTAGTTCAGGAGGTAATGAGCGCTGCAAATCTTGGTGCGTCTCTAAAGACATGACTGCCGATTGATCAATGCGGTTGAACTGGTGTGTTGAACATGGGAACAAGTTACTTGCTGGACAGACTTACAATTCGGAGCTCAAGGTAACTTAATGGTTTACATGTACCTTATCTCTCATCATGACCCCAGATAAGCTCGACTTTACGAACACCAATCAGAAGCCGGCATCTACGACAACCTCACTTACACCCATCAAGTGCTTGACGCGACAGACTGAATCACAAGGTAGTTGGCCTGAACTGAGCCGTTGAACAGCTTCCCTTCTTCGATCACAGTGGCAACGATATAGATATAGTACGCGACACTGGCACAATTTCATGAACATGTGAACAGCCATGTATCAATCATATAGTGACCTTGCTCGGTTCTTGACCCAATATCAAACTCAAACCTTTCCCACCACCATCACTAGTCTCTTCCCCAGACCGAACTGGCACTTATCAAACTAATCTATCGACGAAATATCCTACAAACGCAATCATGAGTGCTCTGACTAACGCCCAAGATGTCCTCAGCGCACCACATTTACCTATACTCCCCAATGAAATCACCCTGAAAATCCTCATCGAGACCACCCAAAAGAGTGAATGCTAGATTCACTTACTCACTGAGGGTCTATCTGTCTGCGGTGATGAGTCCGGTGACTACTATACCGTCATCTACACTCGAGGTCAGCTGGATCGTGATGGGGTGTTTGGACAGGGGCAGATCGAAAGTATCCCCCTCCGGCACAAATGTATCTACGAAACACCTGTCGTCGACGGTGAGATCAACTTTATGACATCCGGAAACCTGATCTGGAAACAAGCTCTCGAAAAACATCGACTGCTACATCAACTTCATGTTTATGATAGATATCCCAATCCCGATCTTGTTGCGTCAATGCGAGCCCTCTGGAGTCGACACAACAACGGAAATCTGGATCTCGGAGCATTTCGCCGTGAGGCTGGAAATCTTCTTGTCCTCACCGGTAATCTCATGGACGATATTCCATTCTCTACCGAGGCGTATGGCGGAACTAACGGTCCTAACCGTAATGCACATACTAAGAAACTACACCCAAACGACGATCATCTCGCGTGCCAACGCAGAGGCCATATCATGATCCTAACTTCTCCCTGGGCATCAGAGGACGAAGAACTTGAGGAAATGAGAGAACATGAGTTTTATATCTCTCAAGTCTCTCACAACATGAATGCTGATATGCACATCGCATTCCATCACGTCTTGTTTCGCAGACGAGAAGCGGATCGCCTAGCTCTTCTTCAGCTGGACTGGTCTTTGATGACTGGCCTCCAGAGCCTTTGTCTTGATCTTTCAGGACCCTGGACCGATGGTCCCAACGAGGCACTCAAGTCCTTTTGTGTTCAGATGGGAATGCATCTGAAGCTCAAGACACTCGTTGTTCTTGGCCTTCCGGTGCGACAGGAATACTGTAAGTTGGGCAAGGACTTCTGGGCTAAAACCCTCGAGAACCAAGAGTATGTTCCAAGCACGGTCGTCAAAAGCCATTCCGAAGACAGTGACGAAAGTGACGATGATCCTGATGAAGAACTTGTCGGATTCCCAACATATATCTATTGGTTGAAGGAGTGTCTCCAGCCCGGCGGCCAGATACATTTTGTGACGCAGTATGCATAGAGACGGAGCCGTAATGGTCCTGGAGATTCCATCTTTTCCATCCAAGACGATGACACTCCAGCTGAGACCGCCAATGATGGTCTCTCGTATACATTTCGTATCCATTGCCCCGATCTCATCGTTTTCCCTATCAGGCTTTGTCGTCTACCCGTAGTCCCCAGATACCCCTGCCAAGAACACAGAGTCCTTGCGAAAACCCCCTTATCTATTTGATTTTGATTAGTTGAACAGACTTTAGTTGGCTAGGTAATTGCTTTTGTGCAGATAATTCGATAGAGCAAGACATATAGCCTTCTGAATACAAGAAAACTTCTGACCAGGGATCAGTGCCAAACAAGTAGTCTTTACCTATTCCTCCTTGTCGCTTAATATAGGGATTAGAAATTTTCTTGCCTCCCAGACACCTTCTGCCAATCCTAAATAAAACGTGAATATTATGTGACAGAGGCGTGAGTCTCTAATGTTGTCAATTGAAAGATATCACAGAAGGGAGTCATGGACTTTTCCTTCTCGTCTCATCCTGTAAACCGTAAACACGTCTCCGTTTCCCATCCTGGCTGTCTATTCGAAAAGCTCCTGAACTATATTCTCTTTCTTTACACATCTGCTCATGCACCAATCAAGTAATAACACCCATCCTTTCCCAGAGCAAAGACTTCTTAAACGCAAGAAGAGTTGGCCCTAGACGAGCACATACACGGCCACCGGACTTCAACTATTTTCTCCCTACACTCTCATAATTATAGTCAACACTCCACAGGGAATCCCAAACAACCGACTTTTTCGTCGGACTCTCAGCCGAATCCTCCCGTTGCACAGCTTTCCGAGGCTGCTAACTGGCCGTCAGCAACCCATCATCATGGTCCAAGAAGGGTGTCGACGTTTCGTACCTCGTCCGCTTTGGCGCTGCCGCCTTGGTTTGATGACTCGCCAGAAGGAGACTTGCTCGGACTCTCCGTTTGCTCGCTCTTTTGCCCTTCTGCCAGAGCTTTCTGTGCTAGGCTCGCATTGGCTGCTGTGAGAAGCCCCCCGTGCGTAGGGCTTGTGCCGGATGGTGTGTCGGTGGGATGCGCTCGGAGTGAGTTGGTCTCGCTAGCCAAAGCACTATTCTTCAACAAAGCCGTACCCCCAAGCTGAAACGGCAGGGCTTTCTTGGAACCCGTACTGCTACGCCTACTCTCAAGACTCTTGGATAAAGTCTTGTTAATACCTTCAATACTAGTGACGCTATCCCGACTCTTACCCTTTCCACCCGTAACGTGAGTGTGAATGTTGGCTGTCGCTTCTACGGTATTAGCCGCAACAGTTGACTTGCCCATTCCAGGCGTCGAAGGGGCGCCGGGTTTGTCTTCGAAAGCATCGATCAGATACCAGCGTAAACCATCCGACAACTGGAAGGGGTTATCGTTCTCCTCATCGTTGATCGAATCTGTCTCGCTGCTCGGCTGGAGACTCTTGGAAAGGTCGACGACACGCTCTTGGATCCGTGAGATACGGGCTACAAGCCATTCTCGGTGACGCAGGCGATGGGCATCTTGCTCGCGTAGGAAGTAATGTGGGAAGCCCACATTGAAAGCGGCCCACGCACCAGCTTGCTGATTGCGTGTGGGGAGAAACAAGGCCAGATCGCCCTCCTTAAAGTGCTTGAACGCGATCTTCTCGTGCGAATCCTTTTGCAAAAGGTGTGCCTTCTCCCTGTAGGATCGGGCTTCCCTCTGCCACTTACGAGCCATGTGCTCTACTTCCTTGATCCTGCGATAAACGGTCTCGGAGAAAAGCTCCATGTCAAAGTTGCCAATCTTGTTCATGAAGGCTTCGTATTTTTCATTTTCGGCCTGTAAGTCTGAGTTGTTAAGCCAGTATAGGAGTTCGAGATCAGCGCTATCACCCAAGACACGGCTCAGAGTTCCTGACTTGCGCATGGACGAACCAGGGTCAGAGGAGTCGTTGGGGTTCTGAGCATTTCTTTCGGATCGTGGAATCTTAGTAACGGTCATATCTCCATCTTTCCTGGTAATGGCAAATCCTACGCGCTCCAATAGGCGGCACATACGATCGTTTTGAGAGTAGAGGCGCTGTGTAAGATCCTTAGTCTTCTCGTCTCGGTGCTCATACTGGCTATTCAAGTTAGACATCTTGCCTTGCAGGGACTCCGCTTTCTCTTGGAACATGCGAAGCTCTTCCTCCAGACTACCGACGTGGGACTGTTTGGAGGCCACTTCTTCGGTTAAGGCCATGACCTTTTTCTCTTTTTCTTCCAGTCTTGTCTGCAGAGCTTCTGGCCCAGTTTCGCCATCACTGAGCTTGGCACGCAACCCAGTAAGTTGCTCTCTACCATCTGCGAGCTCTTGTTCAAGTGCAGTCACCTTCGCTTTCTCCTCAGCCAATTTCTCACGCAAATGGACCGCTTTCATTTCGCCTTCGGATAACTTAGTATCTTTCTCAGCAAGCTGTTCTCGGAGTTCCGCAATGGTTGCCGTAAAGTGTTCAACCTTGGTTTTCAGTATATCAATGTCTGCTTCCGAGTTGCGGGACTTTTCAACGAGTGTTCCGGCTTGGGTAAGTAGCAAATCTGAAAGATCTACAAAGTTGTCTGGGGCAGCAGCCTCGGGCAGCAGCTCAGTAAATAGTTTTTTCAGGGCCTGCCAATGATCACCTATCGTCTCCTCAGCAACACTCAATTTTCTCGAGACGTCCTGAGTTTCCTCTTGTGCAGATTGAACCTGTCTTTCAAGGGCCTCTTGTTGTTCTCTTTGGATGCGGGTTTCCTTGCGAAGGAACTCGACTTGCCCTTGCGCTTTGAGGGCGTCATCTTGTCGCTGCTTGTTGATTTGATCCAACTCGGCCTCTAGCTCCTCCACTCGTACAACATATCCGGCTTTCTCGTGCTGCCTTGATTCGTCGAACTGTTCGATTTCGTCTTCAGTATCCTCCAACCGTGCTCTGAGAGTCTTGATTTCGTTTTCTAGGTTCTTGCGCTCTTCGACGAATTCACGTTCGAGGGCCTCCATATTCTCGAGTAGATCTTGTTTGGTAGTGTTAACTTCCGCAATCTGACCTTTCAAGTCTTCATGCTGGCCCTTCAAGTCTTCGTGCTGACCTTTGATGTTCTCATGATGATCCGATTGCGCTGTGAGTTCTTGCTGGAGTCGACTAGACCGCTGTTTCTCTTCTCGCAGTTCGTTTTCTAGCTGAGTGATACGTCGCATCAAGGGGTCGATGCCGTCCGAAGAGCGTCTGCGGTCATCAAAGCGGCTCGATCTGATAGATGACCCAGAGTTGCCTCTCTCGCGCTGCTGGGGACCCTGAGGCTGGAATAGATTTCCAGGGCGGCTGGCTTGGCTCTGTCGATGAAGCAAATCCTCTAGACGGCGGACTCGGCTCTCGGCCGTCTTCAATTTGTTTTCTAATTTACCTTTATCCTCTTGGAGCGACTGTAGTAAATCATCATCGCCTCGAATCATGAGGCCACTTCTGCCGAGGGCCACTTCATGAATACTTCCGTTCTTGAATGCCTTAAGTCGTTTGGATTGCTGCTTTGTTGGATTGTCAAGCTCTTGTACGAGCTTCAAAACATCATCCAATACACTCTGATCAATAGGTTGCTCTTGCAACAACTGCACGAAATCTGTTAAGTCGTCTTTGGTCAAAGCTGGCCATGGTTTGTCTTCCCCAAGCAAATTGACCTCTAGGCCCATGACATTGGTGTCCAGATCTGGACCATACATGCTGCCAATCATTTTTTGCCACTTACGCCGTCGCTTGGACTCTTCATCCTGAAACAATGCCATCTCGTTCGCTAGAGTAGACGAGTCCGTCTTGACTTTATCAACCCATTCGCGCCGTCGAACTGCTTCCGAGACGAAAGCTGCGTACATATAAGGCAGCTGGTGAATGAGACGAAGATAATCAAATGTCGTCATGTCATCTACCGACTGATTCAATACGTTGATTTGACTTTTGACGTTGTTATGAAGAGATGTTATTTCCGTAACGTAACGCATGAATTTCGCTGAATCCGAAGCAACAGAATTCCGTGCGTCTGTTGCATAGTGAAGTAGCTCATCCATCTCTTTGACTCGCTTTTTCAGCGTTGGTACCAAGTGTTCGGTGTGCACTGAAGCCGTCTTGGAAGCTTGCGCTATATCTCGTTGCGTATCCCCATATCCTAGTGCTGCCCGGTAGTCGGAGTCCATCTGTTTCACTACAGCCTCGATATCTTCAAGAAGTTGCGCGGAAGCGGTGCTATGGCCAAGAGCAGATCGGCTCATGAGCTTCTCGAAGTCGGCAATCAGTGATTCCAAGCTTCTATACATCTGAGTTGCCGTGTTGTTGAGTTGATTGGCCTTGTCGCTGAACCTTCGATGAGCTGTCGGGGCAAGTTTTCCCGCCTTCTTTGCGGTATCGAGTTCGATGAGGTCTTCCAAAGTTGGGTGCGACCTCTTGGTCTCTTGTCGAGTCATAAACTTGACCATTAAAGGGGAGATCGGGGTATTTCTGGCAAGATCAAGATATTGCTCCCAATTTTGAACCAGATTCCCGTGCTCTTCCAGTGCAGGCGTTACCCATTTCTTTAGGTCGTTGTATTTGGGCTCTATGGTCTTGATGCTGATTTCGAGATTCGCAACAGCCGCGTCCAAGCACCTGATGATAACATCTGTCTCGTCGTACAGCGCAATAGTTGTTGTATTCATCTGCCCGCAGTCCTCAACCAGGTGCATAGCCCAATTTCGACGCTCCTTGTATAGCTCTTGCCATGATGATATTGACTGTACATCATCGATCGTGTTCGGCGCATTCGGGATGACGTACCGCTTCGGAGCCGGGACTGGGATGATGAGGTTCGCATTTCCTGGAGAACTTATCCGGATATCGTATATGAACATCTCTTTCTGGGCTATGGTCAGATACGGCTTATCTCTTGCTGAGTAACCAACCTCTGTATGTAGGCTTGTGGATTTGACGGTACGGCCTTGAGGGGTCAAGGCGACAATATGCTG